AGACTCTCATGTGCTCTCCTTTTAAAGCCCTCAGAACCACTACCATTCACGATGGCATGGTCCTTAGAATTATCACCTCTTCATGTCCCCACCTTTTGTGATCATAATAGGATTTCCGATCCTCAACAGTTACAGTGGGGATTAAGCTTCAATGGTTTTGGGGGACCATTCAATCCAATGCTGGTATTGACAAGGGCCATGGAGGGAACAGAGCAGGGAAAGGTCAGAGAGTGAGGGCCCAGGATCTCTAAGGGAGTTGGTCAGGGAAGGCACCTCCCAAGGACACTCTGAATGTGAGCAGGGGTCTGAGGGCAGTTAGAGAGTGAGCCCTGAAGACACTGAGCACTTGTATTCCAGACAGAATGACAAGTTCAGTGTCTCTGGGGAATGGAGGTCACGCTGCTGACCCTACCCTAGCAGGACACACACACACAACACACACACACATATGCCAAGGCTGAAGGATGAAGAGACCTGCTCAGGACTCAGGGCTCCATGCTTCTCTCTCAGTACATACATCCCAATATTGACTGATTTCTCTCTTCCCTCCTGTCCTCACTTGTAACCTCCTGGAACTCTCCCAGCACTGCCCAACTCAGTATGGAATCTGTGCTGTTCAATGCTGCTGAAGGGAAGGATGTTCCACAATCTTGTCCACAATCTGCCAGAGAATACTCAAGTTATGTCTGGAACAAAGGAAAAAGGGTAGGTGCTAATCTCATTGCAGCATATATAATATACACTCAAGTAAATACCCCAGGGCCTGCATATAGCAGTCAAAAGACATTATTCCCCAATGGATCCCTGCTGTTCCAGAACGTCACCCGGGGGGACACAGAACACTACACACTACAAATCGTAGATGCAAAGCTCAGCACTGACCAAGCATCTGGACAGTTCCACATACACCATAAGTGATTCCTCTGTACCTCTGGTTGTTTGGGTGGGATAAATTCTACTTCACACACATGACTGTCAGGCCTGGAGTCTGCCTACATCCCCTCTACATTATGTCCCATGTAGGGGTTTGAACATTTAGTGCAGGGCACACAATGTGGAGACAAACATCAGAAGATCGGCATTTCTTACTCCAGATTTCTGGCCCTGCAGACACCGGCTGCAGAGAGAATGACAGTCTGATGGGGTCACTTAGCAGGAGGAGACCAGTCACAGTCCCGCCCCCAATCACCTCACCCACCCAAGTATATGACCCTGAGGATGATTCTGCAGGACTCGGTCAGGGTCTGGCCTGAGGAACCTCTGGGATCCTCATAGGGAAGCTTAGCCTCAGGAAGCCTCTACTGCAGACCCCTATCCCAAGGTTCCTGATTCCAGGTGACCAAAAGCCTGTGGCCAAGTCTGGGTTTTTGCCTCTTGGGCAGAGCTGATGGGGAGCAATGATTTACCAGCTGCCCAAGTCTTATCACCAGTCCGTAGAGCTGGACACCAGACAAGGCTCAACCTCACGAACCTGGGGAAGGGCGGAGCCTAGTCCTTCACCTTCTTGACATAGAGATAATAGACAGGTGCATCAAGATATTAGCCAATTGCCCTTGGGAACTTAGGAGGTGCCCTTGGAATGTCAGCATGCCCAGGGGGAGAAACAGAAGAGAGAAGATGCTCTGGAAGCTCCTTGTCCACCAGGGATCAGGCCCAGGTGTAATGAACATTACCCTTATCCACCAGCCGCAGAAATTGGCAAATCACAATCGCAGGCTGGATCAGCCCCTAGACAACAGGACTCTCACTTTACTCAGCGTCACAAGGAATGATACAGGACCCTATGAGTGTGGAACCCAGAATCCAGTGAGCGCCAGACACAGCGAACCATTCATTCGGAATGTGCTCTGTAAGTAACTTCTGTTCCCAGGTGGCCCAGGCTGCCAACCCAAAATCACA